TTGTTATTCTGTAAAATACCCAGATTGTGAGAATTGGTTTGTAAGGAGTTTTCACGTCTTTGGTAAGGTACTTATTCTTGTCAAATAGGTCTTTCATCCTGACAAAAGCCAACCCAGGGAGAGAGCTCAGGCTCTATCTTCCTATGCAGTCTTTCCTTCAGTTTTAAGTGTACTTGGAAAGCCAAGGAAGTCTTATCAGTTAAGTTATTGCTTAACTGATAAGCAATAACTTATAGTTATTGCTTACTACTCTTAGGAGTTAAGAGAATCATTTAATTTGCTCTTCTTCTCAAGCTACAAGTTCCCGAGTCTGAAACACTGTGTAACTGGAGGGGAAGCACTCAATCCTGAAGTGTTGGTGAAGTGGAAAATCCAGACAGGGCTGGATATCCATGAAGGTTATGGCCAGAGCGAAACAGTACGTTTGCAATAAATGTAATTACTTGTAGTAAAACCCTTCACCATCTTTACTTCAAAAGCCAAACTAAAATAGATTATTTCCTCTGGGTATCAATTTGTCCTGAGGTTTAGTGAAGAATATTAAAGCAGCTCACATCCCAGATTCTCTGATGTTCTCAAGAACCACAGTGCTGTGATCCTGATTCAGCCCTTGTCACAACAAAGTCACAAAGAGGAGCCCTGTCTAACATAAACAATAACAAAATTTACAAGATGTTGCAATAATTTTAAAAAGTTTTTTAAAAATCTATTCTGCAGGTCACAATCTGTGCCAATACGAAAGGAATGAAAATTAAACCTGGCTCTTTGGGAAAAGCTCTTCCCCCTTATGATGTGCAGGTACGTGGGTGTGTGGCAGTTGTGGGTAGAACAGTAAGGCAGTGCTGGCTGTGTCCCTTCTGTGCCCTGCACTGAGCTGGAGCAGATGTTCCTCTGAGCTGGTCAAAGCACTCCTGCTGTGTGTGTCCTTTCTGCAGATCGTAGATGACCATGGGGCTGTTGTGCCTGCAGGAGAAGAGGGCACCATCGGTATCCGAGTGAAACCCACACGACCCTTCTGTCTGTTCTCCGAGTACTTGGTGAGCCTGACTGGCTGTGTCTGTGTCTGCTGAGCGCCTCAGGAGAAGCCCAGGGCAAAGTTCTGCCAGGAGCAGAATTCCATGCAGAATCCTCAGGTCTCACTGGGTTACTTGATGACTTTGAGCCTGATCAGTGCATAGTTCCAGGAACAGACTGACTGACAAAGTGTAGCTTCAAAATGCAACATGAACCAGGGGTTATCTTGTTCCAGATATCTACCAGGCAGTTGCCATGCACTTCATGTTCGGAGCATCACTCTTTTCCCTCTTTTCCATTCCTCTCTTTGGTTAAACATTGTTGAAGAAAGCCCATAAATTCTACTCTTATACATCAGGAACGCAGGGAGGCTTTCCAAGGCTCAGGTATTTTATTCCCTCATACCACTGTCAGAGGTACCCTCATTCCAGCAGGCACTGCAGTCAGAGAAACCTGTGTACAAGTGCCTGTCACACACAACGTGCACAAGATCAACAGCACAAACCCCTCACATGCAGATGATCACAGGGTTCTGAGGTAGTGACACATGTAATCAAACACCACTATTCAAATGGAGATGCTCTACCCACTGAAAGCAAAACCAGGCTAAGAAAACCCACCAGAAGATGGGACATTTTGGTTCAGGTCAAAGGTCCATCTAAGCAATTGTTCATCTGTGGTGCTGCTGAGGTGCAGGACATTCTTAAGAAAACAGAAGTATCAGGCAAACCTAAAGATATTATCCCCTGTATTGGAACTGCCACATTCAATAGGCTTTGGGGAACCTACTTATGTTTTTAATCCTCTTCTGAACCCCCATAATATTTGTATATACTTGTAGCACTCTCATACAACAACCTGCACAAAGTCATTTTTCACTATATCATAAAAATCTTCTAAAGTTCAATATTGTAATTTCAGGTTTTCACTATGTCTTCTCTTGTCAGAGAGCTTTTCCTGTGTAACCAAGAGGTTACATTGGATATATAGATCCTGAAGGTCAGATAATTTTTTTTCTGCAGGTCACCTCATTTGTGTTTTGGTCCTGACATTTAAGAGGAAAATGTTCCCTTTGTCTGGAAGTTATTTTGGCAACCCCCAGCAATGAAAAATAATTTCCCTGCACGGAGTGGGTTAAACATTTTTGTGGGTTACACATTTGCTGTGGTGGATGGGTATTTTGATAGAACATGGCCTTTTCTCTATAGAACAGAAATCTCTACATAAAAAGTGCTTTTGTCGATGTATCATATGTTTCCACAACAAAGGTGCTAATGTGGCTCTGTTTATTTAGTTGAAAATATAAAACAGTATTGAGCACACTCATTTTGAGTTCAATTTTATTGTTCATTTTTAGCATCACTGCAAAGTAAATACATTACAAGTCACTAACAGTAAGATACTTTTTGGAAATGTTTGATTGTTTCCAGGATAATCCAGAGAAAACTGCAGCCTCTGTGCGTGGAGATTTTTACCTCACTGGGGACAGAGGCATTATGGATGAAGAGGGATATGTCTGGTTTGTTGGAAGAGCTGATGATATCATTAATTCTGCTGGGTAAGGCATTTCCTTTTTGCCTCACAAAATGCAGCCTGGAAAGACCAATGGACTGGCCCATGCTGCTGGGGCTGAGCTGTTTCTGTGCTCCCCTAGGTATCGCATTGGCCCATTTGAAGTGGAGAGTGCATTGATAGAGCACCCAGCAGTCTCAGACGTGGCTGTTGTCAGCAGTCCTGACCCAGAGAGAGGGGAGGTAAAACAAAATAGA